TTACACTCGAGAATCTTCTACAACTTTAGAGAATACGCGGGAGCTTCGCAATACATATTTAACACTATAAGCTGTGCATATTTCTAAATATCAGCTTAATTCAAGCAAACATCGATATAAAAATAAATACATAATAATAAATCCGTCACATAAGTCACAATCGTGAATGAAAATTTGTATAGCGCTAAATACAAACGTGGAAATCGGCATAGAATTTTTATGGCCATGCTGTGGAAACGGCCACATAAAATGGTTTTCCATAAACCGACGTTAAGAGAAACTCAAAATTCACTTTAACTGTCATGTCTAGGGAATTTAAATACCCTTTTTTTCATCTCTATTGTAAATCAAACCGTAGGATTAAGTATATTTAAAGAATTTATTGCTTACCTTAAAATACGCGTTCGACACACACTCACGAGTCAGCATTACGATTTCACTCACTCCTAACAGGGAAAACGTTTTGCACTCTCATATTCTATTTTCAGGACAACCAACTGTTTTTCCAACTGGAACATTCGTGAATAGCGACATAAGATGAAAAGAGGTTAATCTATCAGTTGATTCCAAATTTATCCCAGCGATTTTTTAAAGTACATGGATTTTTTACAGTGTATTTATGAGAGTTAGTTAAAACGAACAACTTTGTTTGTAGTTATGCACAAAGCTACACAATGGGCTATCTGTGCTCTCCCCACCACGGGTATCGAAACCCGGTTTATAGCATTGTAAGTCCGCAAACATACCGCTGTGCCACTGAGGGGAAACATTTTTGACAAATACATTTTGCCAAAAGATGGAACGACAAGCCCCTGTTATCCACAATTGGATGAAACTAAGAGCCAATTTTATGGATTTTGCCCCCCCCCCAGTGGTACAGCGGTATGTCTGGGCTTACAAAGCAAGAATCTGGGTTGCGATACCCGTGGTGGGCAGTGCACATATAACCCATTGTGTAGCTTTGTGCTTAATTACAAAACAAACAAACTTTATAGATTTTAGGTAGCACATAAAATGTACTGTAATTTTACTGGCTTTCTAACTAAACTTTAGACGGCTAAAAAAATTCATTACATGCTTAGAATTGAATAATAACGATCACAGAAAAAAACTATAAGGCCAATTGTCTATGTATGCCTGACAAAATGAAATAACCATACGAAGGTTTCTATGGTTACGTCTCTGTTCGTTTGTTAATTTTCCGTAAAAAAATTCTTTCCGAAGAAACTTTAGCGATACAAGTCCTTTCTTAAATAAAACTAGTTTATTCTTTCTCAATACAACTTTGAAATTCACTTAATTTCCACAGACACGCTATAACAAACGTCTCACGTGCTCGACTTCAACAATACTCAGTTCAATTACACACTCTCTGACTGCAGTTCAATTACTCATTACTCTGGTGTCCCGTCACGTTGTGAACGTCTTATATATACAAGACTAACACACGTCTAGTAAACGCTAGGGCATTCACGAAGGAACGGGATACTTCTAGAAAGAGGTGGCGTGATACTAGTCACGTGACCTCGCTGACGCAACAGTATTTTTGGAACATTCTATTCTACTGACTGACATTTTTTGTGTTTTAAAATGCACATGTAAACGATACAGGAAGTGTTGTTTGGACAACAAACTTAGAGGAAAACTAGCCCTTATTTAGTAATTAGCCATGTATTTGCGTACATACATTTCATGCCATGCAGTGTAGGACAATCTGATAGTGTGTTCCAGCTGTGATCTATTGCTTTTCACTAATGAATAAATTGCTTGTTGTAGTAGCCAGTCAGTAAAACCATGAAATTAAACAAAAATAAATGTGAAAGGGTTAACAGTTGAAAATGTGAATACCATTAACTGAAGATGTGACAACAAATAATGCATTCACAACAAACGAATGATTCACGCGCTTGACTCAATTGTCGTC